CACCAAAGACAAAGATCCCCCCGTATAGCCTTAACAGACTGTTTGGGAAAGTGTTTTTTGCAAGCACCTACAGTGAGGGAAAAAAGTATTTGATCCCCTGCTGATTTTGTACGTTTGCCCACTGACAAAGAAATGATCAGTCTATAATTTTAATGGTAGGTTTATTTGAACAGTGAGAGACAGAATGACAACAAAAAAATCCAGAAAAATGCATGTCAAAAATTTTATAAATTGATTTGCATTTTAATGAGGGAAATAAGTATTTGACCCCTCTGCAAAACATGACTTAGTACTTGGTGGCAAAACCCTTGTTGGCAATCACAGAGGTCAGACGTTTCTTGTAGTTGGCCACCAGGTTTGCACACATCTCAGGAGGGATTTTGTCCCACTCCTCTTTGCAGATCTTCTCCAAGTCATTAAGGTTTCGAGGCTGACGTTTGACAACTCGAACCTCCAGCTGCCTCCACAGACTTTCTATGGGATTAAGGTCTGGAGACTGGCTAGGCCACTCCAGGACCTGAATGTGCTTCTTCTTGAGCCACTCCTTTGTTGCCTTGGCCGTGTATTTTGGGTCATTGTCATGCTGGAATACCCATCCACGACCCATTTTCAATGCCCTGGCTGAGGGAAGGAGGTTCTCACCCAAGATTTGACGGTACATGGCCCCATCCATCGTCCCTTTGATGCGGTGAAGTTGTCCTGTCCCCTTAGCATAAAAAACACCCCCAAAGCATAATGTTTCCATCTCGATGTTTGACGGTGGGGATGGTGTTCTTGGGGTCATAGGCAGCATTCCTCCTCCAAACACGGCGAGTTGAGTTGATGCCAAAGAGCTCCATTTTGGTCTCATCTGACCACAACACTTTCACCCAGTTGTCCTCTGAATCATTCAGATGTTCATTGGCAAACTTCAGACGGGCATGTATATGTGCTTTCTTGAGCAGGGGGACCTTGCAGGCGCTGCAGGATTTCAGTTCTTCACGGCGTAGTGTGTTACCAATTGTTTTCTTGGTGACTATGGTCCCAGCTGCCTTGAGATCATTGACAAGATCCTCCCGTGTAATTCTGGGCTGATTCCTCACCGTTCTCATGATCATTGCAACTCCACGAGGTGAGATCTTGCATGGAGCCCCAGGCCGAGGGAGATTGACGGTTCTTTTGTGTTTCTTCCATTTGCGAATAATCGCACCAACTCTTGTCACCTTCTCACCAAGCTGCTTGGCAATGGTCTTGTAGCCCATTCCAGCCTTGTGTAGGTCTACAATCTTGTCCCTGACATCCTTGGAGAGCTCTTTGGTGGAGAGTTTGGAATCTGATTGATTGATTGCTTCTGTGGACAGGTGTCTTTTATACAGGTAACAAGCTGAGATTAGGAGCACTCCCTTTAAGAGTGTGCTCCTAATCTCAGCTCGTTACCTGTATAAAAGACACCTGGGAGCCAGAAATCTTTCTGATTGAGAGGGAGTCAAATACTTATTTCCCTCGTTAAAATGCAAATCAATTTATAACATTTTTGACATGCGTTTTTCTGGATTTTTGTTGTTATTCTGTCTCTCACTGTTCAAATAAACCTACCATTAAAATTATAGACTGATCATTTCTTTGTCAGTGGGCAAACGTACAAAATCAGCAGGGGATCAAATACTTTTTTCCCTCACTATAAGAAGGCCGGCACAGCACACGAGGGTTTGGGTGGTCAGCACCACGCCCGACCACCTTTGCCTTTCTAGTTGCGTTGTTTACACACCGCACCAGGTACTGGTTCAGATAATTGTCACTGGTGTTGTCCGTGAGCGGGAAGGGAACTTGGATCGCTGCTCCCCACGTGCACAGGTACACACACGCGCAAAGAAGAAGCACGCGAGTGTAATTACACACACGTAGGCCGACAATTGTCGCTCAGACAAATCCATTTTTAATGGTGTGGTATTGCTGGTTCCACAGTACATACAACTCCCAATCACATTTGGCCATGGATTCATTCAATTTTACCCAAGGACGTTTTATTGGGAGCGGGGGGGGGGGGAGTGCAGGGAAATGTCATTATGCATAAGCCACACTGAGATTGGATGTTTTCAAATTAAGGCTGCACTCTCAAAGCCATTGTATGTACGGACAATAATATTATGGGGCCAGTAAGGACGGCGTGGTGGCGTTGACGCGCCGCGCTATAAACGCGGCCACCTGAATTCGAGTATTGGCCATTGTTCACGTGACTGGCACAATGACATCTTGAGTGACATCGGAACATTATTCGTGGCGGGGGGGGGGCCCTTTCCCTTCACCAACGCACACTATACAAAACGAAACTTTTACTTTTTTATTTTACCAGGTAAGGCCCACTGAACTAAATAGTTCCTATTCTTAGCTCTTTCGGTAAAGTCACGTTGAAGGGAAACAATAAAATAATAAAAACGTGACTAGTTCCTATTCTTAGCTCTTTCGGTAAAGTCACGTTGAAGGGAAACAATAAAATAATAAAATATATATTGTTTTATTGTTTCCCTTCAACGTGACTTTACCGAAAGAGCTAAGAATATGAATTACTGCAGTCACGAAAGCTTTAAATCAAAATTTAAATAGTTCCTTTTTCAGAAGCGACCGGGCTCCCCTGGGCGACGCGGGGGACTTGCGTTTCCACTTGGCAAGGCCCGAGCTCGAGCTGCCGTAGCGTCGCGCCTGGTGGCATCGCTGGACTTGCAATCCAGAGGTCGCCGGTTCAACTTCGTCTTTGCGGCGCAGCGGCTGAAACAGTGGGGGCAGGTTTTCTTGATTTTCCCCTCCACCACCACCCACCCCCCCCACTCCTCCCATCTGTCCCGCCCAGTAGGATGGGTTCACCGTAGTTAAACGATGGACGGGGTTTGCGTTTGGTGGGGTAAAGTCTGGGTAACTCGCACCTATTGGGGCCACCGCGTTAGCGACACGTTAACTCCCTCGCCAGGTATGCAGGAGGTTGTGGCTTCCCCGTGGTCGCTTGGATTTTTCACCAGGCCCTCCGGATTTTCCCCTCCACATTTAAACGCAACACGCGTTTCGAGTATTTGGCTGCGATAAATTTCCGCGCGATAAGCCACTTTGTTGAGCTTTCATTTGGGGCCAGGTCGCTTCTGAAAAAGAGCTACATAGCTCAGTGGGCCTTACCTGGTAAAAAATAGTTTAGTTTATATTTTTGTTCTGGTCAATGTGGAACAGTAGGCAAAAATTACCCCCTTCGAGGATCTCTCTTGAGTCCACTCGAGTGGAGACCCTTCTGCCAGTAGTTGATGCGATTAAGCAATTTCAGGTCTGCACCCTTATCTTGTGGACCGCTTACCCCAGTGCAATTGTACGTGCACAAGTCCACGAGCTGGTAATTGGCGTTGACCCAGCATTGAGAGCAGTCTGGCTTCAATCAGGCCAACTCTCTCTTAAAGAAGCCGGCACGTTGAATGTGTTTCCACGCTGGCACGTAGGCACTTGTCATTTCAGAATGTGTTGAGACATTCTTTACTAAATCACGCTGCCAATCTTCATCGCCGGATTTTAATTTTTTGTTCATCTATGAAGAAAACGTTATGAGGGCAATCGTTTCCATATGCTTGCGTCGTCTTTATCAACGGCAGCTTCCCAAAATCACTACGACCCACTTGTATCATCATTCTGATCCCGAGCCACTTGAAATTATTTTCCACCTTTTGAGTTTGGTCTCTCCAGAAATTGCACTTTGATCGGTGAACGTTGTTGTGCATGGATTTTGTTTTCGTGGTCTCGAGTCCAACATTGTTGAGTTCCTCATTGATTTGTTGTAGTGCGTTGGCTGTTAAAACGGTGATGCCAACAGTTGTGATGTCAATGTTTACCGATGCTTTTTTCGTTCAAATTTACCGTCACTTCTCCGGTGTAGTTTTTGGAAATGTTTCGAGCTCAGACCTGGAGATGAGAAACATCACCACTGATTAAGGAAATGGAACAAAAGCTGAACAGTGTGCAAAAAGGCGTGGAGAGGTGCATGCTGGGAGTTAGCAATTGAGTGACGGATCAGAGAGCAAGCACAAATCGGGTATCGTGTGAACCCTCGATTTTAGCAGCTGAACTCTCAAATACACTTGTGAACTTCGGAACAAAGAGTTAAAAGGTTCTTGGGCATGACACATCATGAGAACGGACGATGGCCGACGGACAAGACTCGTGATGGAATGGTAGCCAAAGGATGGAACGTTGCTTGTGCGGATGACGGCCGTTGAGATTGAGCGACGAGGTCGGTTCACGTGCGGGAGTCAAACAGGTCGTTGGTGTGGGATCGTGATCCAGCAGTGGATGCAGTGGCCGGTGCTCGTATACATCGGTGCTGTGTATTGTCACATCTTTTCAACATTGTGTCAGGTTTTTTCTTTTACACACCTTGGAAGCATTTCTGAGTGATCAAGGAAAATGATAAAACGTGCAGACGTAATGGCCGACGTGACAAATAACGTTTTTTTTTCCCCCCTTCCTATGCTCGGTCAACGCATTTATCAAAGGGAATCTGTGGTTGCACTTCTGCGAGGTTGATGCTTCCTTCAGCTTCATCATTAAAACGTAGTTTATGTGCGGAGTTTTGTTCGCCGGTTGAAAATACATTCCTTCTGCATCATTAAAGCAACGATAGCCGTAACCGAGTTGGCACCGAAGAAGAATGCCTAGGGAGGTGATTCTTTACCTCTGCCTTTCATGGTCAACTTGTTCCAAAATATTTCACATGCCTCTGATAATCCTTGAGTGCATTTCATTGATTGGGTGTTAACTTACTCTCAACAATGTCGATGCTTCATCTCTATACACGTATGCGGCGCGTGTGTGTGTTCGGTAGTGCAGCGGTTAGCGTACGCTGCTCCACGAACCCGGTGACCTGAGTTCGATTCCCGCTCGCGGCCAATACCAGTGACGATGATCCGATTCGGTTCTGGGCCTCCTCTAGGTCGACTCTGCTTCAAATAAGTACCTGGTGTGCGGAGTGTAAAAACATCGCCACTGGGGAGACAACGGCGGTCGGGCGTGGTGCTGGCCAACCCCCTCGCGTGCCGTGCCTGCTGTCACGTGCTTTTCGCGAACAGCTTTTGCCTCGACGGTCTGTTGAGGCCGTACGGGGGGTCTTTGTCTTTGTATATAGCGGGAACGCGCTGGTGCAGCGGTTAACACACCGCACTGCTCACCCGGCGACGTGAGCTCGATACCTGGCCACGGCCAACATCCGGGGCAAGTGATACCTGAACCAGTTCAGCGCCGCCCCTAGGGCCACTCGGCCTTCAATGAGTGCATAATGCCGTGTGTTTAACGTCGACACGGGGGGGAGACAAAGGCGGCCCGGTGTGTTGCCGATGACACCCAAGCCCCTCCACGGGCAGCCCTGGCTGGCCCCCTCTTCTCTCTGCTTCCCCTTCAAGCCCCGTGCCGTCAGACCAACCTTAACCCTTTCCCGTTCCGATGACGCACGTGTGTATGTCATAAGTTTTTCTTCCGACTCCTTTCCCGGTGACATGCGCGTACGTCGTCGGGACTGAATCGGAAGAAAAAACTCAGATAAAATCACTTGACCGGTACCGAGGCTCCCACAGTGCCATGCGGGAGGGCGCGTGGCACAGTTTGGCGCCAGCTATCGTAGAGTGCGGTCGTGTCGCTACAGTTCTCTGCGGTGAGTACAATGTCTTTTAGACAGCGGTGCTGCACCTCTCGAAATAAAATTAACGCTGAACCGCTTTGCATGTTACGAGATTCAGCGGTGAACGGTACCCCCACCCTGCAACTTGCAGACATCTCCAAACGGGAAAGGGTTAATTGCTTCTCTTTTCATCCTTCCCCTGCTCGGTCCCTCCCATTCTCTCTCGGCTCATCACTTCGTGTTTCTGCGCTGCTCTGAGACGTCTGCTACGCTGTGGGAGCATTGTAAATGTAAGTGGCTGTCGCACGCTAACAGTTATTGTCGAACGCTGCGCGTTGGCCTCACGAAGGGGGGGGGTGGTCTTTGATTTTATATACGCACTATTTCTACAAATAAACATTTGAGCCTTCGTTCCGGATATGTTAGCTTCTTGCGCTAAAACCTGCCACCTTAGAATCGTTTTTTTTGTTTATCCTGGACAAATCCGATGAGCTGTGAAGCTCTTTTTCACAAGATGTCAAGTCGGGGTGGGTCAGAAAGTTACAACAACGAATCCCAAAAATAAAATAAAAACCGGATAGGAGTGCAAACTGTAGGAGAGGTAAGACGCTCACATTGCCCATACACAGCAGGACCAGTGGCCTGCATTGGTTTGGGCATGGCTGACTCTGCTGTCGATGAGGCACTGAATGTCGAAACCCAGTCCAGGAGTTTGCTTGAACTTAAAGCAACGCTGCTGAAACGATTCCGCTCCCAGAAGGCCACGCGGCCGATGGCATGATGGGTTTGTGTATTGAAGTAAAAAAGAAACGACGCTTCAGCGCGTTTTTTGTATGCGGAGGGACAGCCCTGTGAAGGAGGCGTCTTGTCTTGCGTATTTAGCTTGTTGCTTGTGTTCTCGACGACGCACATTCTGCACATTCTTCTTTAGCGTTGTGCATCGTAACGGCTCAGCTCAACAGGGTACACATGCAGCGTTATGAAAGTGCCCAGAGTTGAAAGAGGGCCAGAGTTCTGAAGACACGAACAATGCTCTCCCCCCCCCACCCCCCGTCACGCCGCCTTTCTGCTTTGAAGAAGGGCCATTGCCTGAAACGTCAGCCTATGACTGTACGTGTTTTTTTTTTCTCCTTCACGGACTGCGAATGATGAATCGCATGCGGGAGAGCGAGAAGCGGGCTTACGAAGTTTAAACACAACAGTTTGTTTGGCCTTTGAGTCTTGGGCACGCTTCCAACTTGGAATGTAAGTGGAGAGTTCTGCTTGTGTCAGGAGGTTGTCTGCTCAGCTCGGAGGGGGAGGAGTGGATGGTGTGTCTCTGTGTGTGTGTGTGGGGGGGGTATGTGGGTGCTTGTAAGTGACGGGGGAACAGTTGGGGTTCGACATGAGTCGGGTCCTGGTAGACTGGGAGATGTAATGATTTACACGGAAAATATGTTGCTTGTTTATGCGTCTTTGTCGGACTGTAAGTGATTGAAAGAACGTGCGTGCGTGTGTGTGTGCGCGTTTCTTACTCTTCGTGGGGAGCGGTGGCGTAGCGGTTAGCGCTACGCTGCGAACCTGGCGACCCGGGTTCGATTCCCGCTCGCGGCCAGCACCGGTGACGATTATCTGAACCGGTCCCGGGCCTCCCCTACGTGGACTCGGCCTCAAATTGAGTAGCTGGTGTGGTGTGTAAACATCGTCACTGGGGAGACAAAGGCGGCCGGGCGTGGTGCTAGCCACCCACCCCCTCGTGTGCCGTGCCGGCCTTTATAGGTGCTCGCTAACAGCACTTGGCCCTACTCCCTGTGCAGGCTATACGGGGGATATTTGCCTTTGTTTTGTTGTTCATGTATGTGATGTGGAGTGAGCGAGGCAGTGGGGGGGGGGGGCTAGGAGGTGGAGCGTTCTCTGCAAAGACAAAGATCCCCCGTATAGCCTTAACAGACTGTTGGGGTAAGTGCTGTGAGCAAGCACCCGTGTATGTTGAACTTCTTTCGTACCGTATGTAGCCAACCGTGCTAATCAGAGGTGCGGATTATGAAGACGGGCACGGCACATGAGGGGGGTGGGTGGCCAGCATCACGCCCGGCCGCCTTTGTCTCCTCAGTGGCGATGTTTACACATCGCACCCGGTACTCATTTGAGGCTGAGTCGACCTAAGGGGGGGGGGGTGCCCAGAACCGGTTCAGATAATCGTCGTCGCTGGTGACTGCGGGAATTCATATTCTATCGGTAAAGTCATGTAGATAGAAAATCAAATAAAAAGAATGCATTTTTTTTTTAAAGTGACGTTTCGATCGCAACACAAGCGGGTTATCTACGTCACTTTACCGAAAGAACCAAATAATATAATACAACTTTCTGTTTGCTGCCCTGTGACGCAGGCGTGCTGCTGGAGAGCTGATGTTTGTTGGGTCCAACTCTTCACCCCCCCCCCCCCTCCATCTCCCTGCTCTCTGCAGCCTTGGGGAGACACACACAGAGAGAAAGAGAGAGATTCTGTCCGGCGCCGTTTTCCATTCGCGTAGCTAAATAATTCTCCGCGCGTGCGTGGGTGAGGTGGTTACCCACGTCCAAACAAATTGAGCATGTCGGCCCTCGCCGCCTTCACACGTGCCCGGGCCGGACATCTGGGGCGCTCGAAGATGTGTACACAGACTTGGGGGAAATTCACAAGTAGATATTTTATTTTTATTTAAAGCTTTCGTGACTGCAGGGATTCATAGTCTTGGTTCTTTCGGTCAAGTCACGTAGAAGGGAAACAATAAAATAATAAACATATGAAACAATAAAATTCTCACGACGTTTTCAAATTTTCTTGCTGTGGTTTTCACACCTGATGATGATTGCTTGTGTTGCAGTCGAAACGTCGTGATAATTTAATTTTATTATATTTTTATTATTTTATTGTTACCCTTCTACGTGACTTTACCGAAAGAACCAAGAATGTGGATATTTTATTATCTTCGTAATAAAGGTTTTTTTGGTTTAGATCGCATAAGTGTAAATGTGTCGTTAACCCTCCACCACCCGATACACCCAATAAGGTTTGTCATGTAAACAAAACGTGCCAATTAAGTTACCACTTCAGCCCACCGGTGTGTTGAAGAGTAAACACACAACGTTAACATGTGTGATGTCACCCAGAATTGAATTCTGGGAAAAAAATCACCCATCGATGATGCTGGATGTAATTACCAGAGAAATATCACACGGTATTCACAAGTTGTAAACGTTGTGTGTTTACTCTCCCACACACCGGTGGGCTGAGGTAGTAACTTAATTGGCACGTTTTGTTTACGTGACAAACCTTACTGGTTGGCTCTGGCGGGGTGGTGGAGGGTTAACGACACACATTTACACTTAGGCGATCGAACGCACACACACACACAAAAAAACTTTATTTCGAATAATATTGGTCGCGAAAGGCTACGTGTATATAAATGTGTCGTTAACCCACCCACCACCAGGTTTGTCACGTGAACAAAACGTGCCAATTAGTTGCTGCTTCAGTAAACCCATAACAATTTGAGTATGAGGCTACGCTGGTGATTACAACCAGCTTCATCAGGCGATTTGCCACAGTTGTGCAGACGTCTTCCTGCTGAGGTCTTAAATCGAGTAAAGGTGATGTCATCACTGTGTTTCTCTGCAATTTTATCCCGTCAGTCATGTGTCCTTTATTCAACTAGGAGATGACAAAATAAAAGAGCCATTTGAGACGCGAAATAATTCCCATTTTATTGCAAGGGTGAATCTGTGTTACACCATATTAGGTACACAATACATATTCAAAAACATCTTGCATTTAACAGATCTAGGCTAAATATAACAACATCAAACGCTATCGGGGGTTCAGCATAGGACTCAAGTACCCGTTTGCATCTCTCGCAGCACAGCAGCGTGTCACCCCGTGTGTTGGAGAATGGCTCTCGTAAGTAGATGTCAAGGAGCCACCTTTCAGGTCACTGCAAGTGCACTCTCTGGCCCGGTAAGGGGGGCAGCACTTCCCAAGCCGCTCGACCAACGAGTGCAACGTTCATCATCACGTGACAGTCAAAACCGGTGGTAGTTTTAATTCTCAGAGCTGGAATTTAACAAAATAATGCGCAGAACTAATAAAATGCGACGGTTGTGGGTTTTTTTTGTTTGTGCGTGTGCGTCGCTTATCGGTGACTGAGCCCGCAAAACCCATCAAACTCACTGTGCTCGAGAACCCGGTTCAATCGCAGGCGGCCCGGCTGGATTCCTTCCACGCCAGCATCTCGGCTAGTTGCTCGCTTTAGCGCTTTGACCTCCAAGCCACCCTCGGCTACCTCCAAATGGGATAAAAAAAACTGATTCTGAAACGAATGAAAGAGTAATTGAAAGATATGCGTGCAAGTGCTTCTCTACCCTCGAGTTAGGACCGACGTTATTTGCATGTGCCCCATATATATACACCAGGGGCGGAGCCAGGATTTTCAGCCCGGGGTGACATTCAACAAATGTTAGTTTCAAGAATGATTTAGAGAGTCAGGCTGTTGAACTAGACGCCATGGGTTGGCGACACACTCTGACAATGCAGTTGCACGGAGTCCACCAGACCGAGTGTCGTACACTTATACGCAGAATGTTTCAGATTTTCGATTTTTAATTTTTTTCGGGGGTGACAATTATCTACCCTGTCACCCCCCTGGCTCCGCCCCTGATATACACCACTATGCGAGCTCTGCTCGACAGAGACCGCTGGTGGGGTTAGGTTAGGCGTTGTCCGACATACGAATGGAAGTTAGGTAGAAGCTTGGTAGATGTGTAAAGCTTACGTACATCTGTGCACCTTTGGTGGACACGCCACAGCTTCGAACCACAAATTAGAATATTTCCTCGCGGCTAAATTGGAAAAAGGAGTAATAACTCTCTCGTGTGTAACCACGGTCGCTCGCATCGCGCGACGTCGATAATGAACTTCGGTGCGCTCCGCCGGTTAAATAAAGGGACGTCAGATGTTGTGTTCCGGAAAGCTCTGCGGCAGTTGCGTCCACCACCTGCTACTCCGCAGGCAGAGGGATGCGTTTCAATTTTAAACGCCGTATTGTGTGTTCTCCTACGGATGGGTTGGGGGCTATTTAAAGGTGCGCTTTTGGCATACTATTAAAGGCAGATATTGTGCGTGCACGTCTGGGGGAGCGGTAGTGCAGCGGTTAGTGCACCGCACTACGAATCCGGCGACCGGAGTTCGATTCCTGCTCATGGACAATACCAGTGACGATTATCCGAACCGGTCCTGGGCTTCTCCTAGGTCGACTCGGCCTCAAATTGTTAC